TATATAAAGAATGGCATAGAGTTGGCATTGATGCGGCAAATTTGTCAGACGCACATCAAAAGTAAGAAGAAGCTCATTAAAATACATGTAAATATAAAATTTAGCTAAAGTCATTTGGTTATAAAAATAATTATATAAGTACATAAACGACACATTTGGTAAAACTTTTGCTGAATAAAATTTTAAAATATTATTTTCATGAGTAAATATGTACTCTTTCGACCAAATTGATGTAAGCAATGGAAAATTAGTGATGACACTAAACATAAATCAATATGCGACTAACACCATATACATATGCACATATAATGATGAACTCATATTAAATATCACAAAGAAAAATACCTATACAAGTAATATTGAACTCACACTTGAGCAATTCAAGCGAATGTAACTAGTATATTCATATTGATTTATATAATAGAGTGAATTATAATTTAGCCATAATAATATTTAGTCTAATTTAAAATATCGCTCCATGAGACAAATCCATTCAGATTTGACATTTTTTTTATTAATATACATATGTAGGTATATAAATTTGTGTATGAAATTACTTTAAATTATTTGCTCTAAGGAACGATATTTATATTGCAATGTAAAATTAGTATAACATATATATAATATTTAGTATCAAGATGTTTAACTATAGCGATTTGAAATCATAATTTTCCATTTAAATGCTACATTTATTTGCAAATAGATTTTTCAATCAATCGTTACTGAAAAGTGTAAAAATCCTTAGAATTTAAAAGCTGTTTAATCAGATTTATTTGCATTAAGCAAATACGTACATATGAATAGTGTTCATATAAAAAGCTCAGCAAAGTTTGTGAATTATGTTATTGATAGCAAAACGTTTTGTGTTTAGGCAAATACAAATCCAACACCTTGCAATATTATTTACAAGTAGCCTTCAATTGCAAAAATAATTAAGGAAAATTTATTTAATTTTAACAATGAAATTGCACAAGTCTTAACAAATGTATTTTTTTCCAAACATGTGAATGGCGCAGCTGTTAAGCACTTTATTAATGAATATTACTAGCCTCTTCAACTTCTTGCGTTGTTTCGCCTTATTTGTATTTTGTTGATATGTTAAGTTCATAAAAAGATTAAAAATTCACGCGGTAATATTAATAAATTAACAGAGATTGAGATGCCAAGATTAATCGTTTTTAGATAAATACATATATAATATACCAGATAAACTTTACACATCGGATGTAATTTGTATTTAAGATATTCCAGTCTAATATATCTAAACCAAATTGCAGTTCAAAACAACACAATTGTTTTCTTATTTCTATGAACTCTTACTAGGTAAGTACTCGTATATATGGAAGTATATGATTAAAGTGGATATGTAGATATGTATAACTGGTTATGTCCATGTATATATGTACATACCTATGTTCGATATGGAAATAGGTTAACATTAAGAGCTTGAGCGTATAGGCTTTTGCCAAACAGCACCTAATTTTTCCCTCAACTCGTATTAAGCTAATCTTCCATAAGACCGTAGATGCATATTGTACGGAAACAATGTGAATAATTATTTAAATGACAGTATAAAATAATAGTTTTATTGCAATCATACCTTTTAGTCGCCACATTTCACATATACTTTTAAATGTAAAAAAATGTTATTGAAGGGAATTATACGTGATGCAACCACGTCAATCTTTACATTGGAAGGTAAATACTTAGCCTGGACTAAAATTTTAACACAAATGAGTGTCGATTGTTGTTTTACATGAAAGTACAAGACTGCCTGGCCGCACAAAACCTTGTACTACTTGATGAAGGATTAATTCGTCCTATTATTAGCATTTTGTGTTTAATTCCAAATCTCAACCTGACTAAATTCCAGGATTATAAAACTGGTATAAACTACCGGCATTGGGAGGGCGTGTAAAAGCCCGTTTAGCGGCAGTCGCAATATTACTTTCATGCTGGAAGGCATTCTCATACGAACGCTTCATGGAATGGGGCATGGTTGGGCCTGCTGTCATTGTTGCGTTGGGCATGACGCCAGCGACTGGAGCTGGTGCACTCGCACCACTCAAACCCGTTGCAGTTGCTGCATATGGATAGCTTGTGGCAAATAACCGATCGGAAATGGTTGAAAGGAGAATGGGCGCGCAGCTAAGCACAAACTGATGATGCGTTGCAGCTGTACCCGCAGCAGAAGGGCTAGGGACGTTACATTAGACGCACCCGGAGCGGACGGATGTTGAATAGCAAAGGTTCATAAAATTTGCATACAGTTGTTGCTGTTGTTGTTGATGCTCTGCAGCCACAGCTGCAGCTCTGCTGCTGGCCAACAATTTTGCTGCGCGATATATTGAGCCTGTTGTTGCGCAATAATCGCGAGTAGCTCCATAGACAACTGAGGCGATGGTAAAGAATAATTAAAGGATATGCAGTCATAGCAGATGTTTGTACATTGGAAGCGCTTGGTGGAATTTGTAATGTGGAAGTTTGCGAATTTCCTAGTCCACCGAGTGGAACAGCATTTTGTGCAGCTGCAGCAGCAGCAGCGGCTGCGGCGGCAGCATTTGTTGCACCGTTATGCTTTGATGCTGAGCAGCATTTGATAGTACCAACTGCGGTTGTCATAAAGGGGACAGGCTATCTGCTGTAGCTGTCATAGCTGCCACAGTTGTGGATTTGTTGATGGCAGCGCAACGTGCTGCTGTTGTGATAGCACAGCTACTGCTGCTGCCATCGGTGGTGATGATTGCAAGGCATGCGTATGCGCATGCGCATGTGTTATATGGGGACTTTGGCCATGAGTGTGAAAGTGGGCATTAGAATGACCCTGATTGTGAGCGTGAGCATGCGTATGAGAACTAATTGCCTGTGCGTTGGACGGCGACGGTTGAGGTAACATACCCGGTGAAAGCAGCGATGAATGCTTAGATGCAGCTGATTGATGGGGATGCGGTGTCGCGAAATAGGGATTGTAGACCGCCATTCAGGACCATGTTCATATCATCACCAGAGCACTGGAATACTTCAATATATCGGTACTTTTACCAAACATCATAAACTGGTTATGCTTGCGTAGTGCACACAAGCGCGCGGATCCTCTGAATCCATTTGAATGAAAGCCTCACCACTAGGTTGACCCTATTAAATAAGAATTAACAAAAATTTAAGCAAAGATAAATTTGTAAGTTTATATAACAATTAAAAATAATAATCTATTACTTGGGCATTGATAACCATGTGTACTCCTTGGAATATAATATGCTTTGCAAACGTCCAAAAATGTAAAATGTGCTCGACTAAGGCCTCATAAGGTAGGCCACGTAAACGAATGCAGTTCTTTGTGGTTCCTGAAGTAATCAAGTGCTGAAAATTAACCGTAAAAATTATATTTATATATATAATATATTATACAATTAATAATCGAATTTCAACACGACTAGGTGGTAAGAGTAAAATCTCTCTCTATCAAATTGTTCCAATCTTCGCGTCAAGGATGAACTCAATGTTATACTTATTTTAGTCTTAACTTGTTCAAGAGAGAAAATTATTCCTAATTCTTATCTGACTTCATGGTACTAATAAAGTAATAATAAAACTCCATGAGAATTTTAAGAGGAGATTGTACTCAGCTCCTTTATGGAACTATTCAAATAAAACTTCTTTTAATTTTAATTTATTTAAAGTTTTCAGTAAATATTGAGTAGTATGAAATTTATAAACAATAAGAATTATTGATTCATGAACAAAAATTAAATTGACTTTTAAGAAGTGATACACTTTTACTGGCAATCGAGAAAACTGCCTCACACTTACAAAACTTATGTCGAATTATGTATTGGAGTCGAATTATATCTGATGAACAAATTTTAATAAGCCTCCGTACCTGAGGTAGCAGCGATAGCGACATTGACGGCAATTGGGAAATAAGTGGCTGTTGTTGATTAGCTTCATAAGTCCTTGGGTCCATAGAACGATTTAAAACTTGTTGAACTTCTGCTGTTGTCGAGCGAAATATTCTATATAACGCTGCCCTATTGATTCGCGATGGCGAGAAAGGGCCTTAGGTGCATCCGACTCAATAGAAAATAGCACGAAGGCGTCACCAGTCGCTCGGCCGTCTGGTTTTTGACAAAGAGCACTCCTTCTACACCATCAAGAACAGTACAAGGTCCCCCCAGTGGTAAAAATCCAACTGTAAAAAGTTAGGCTTTAAGTGTTATGTAATATACAAGGTGCAGTCCAAAGTATACAGGACTTTAAAAAGACAGAACAAATGGTTTTATCGGCAAAATCAATTATTTTATTCAAAATATATCCATTTGCTTTAATACAGCAAACGGTCCAAAAGCATGTCGAACGAGTGTTTTAGCTCGTTGCCCGGTATGGCCGCCAGTATACCGGTGCAAGCCTTTTGAATGGCCTCCACGTCTGCATAACGCTTTCCTTCATCGGCAAATGCATTTTCCGAAAGGTAAAAGTTGCACGGTGCCATCAAAACGTTAATGCGGTATTCTACCTTTGAGTTTTGAAGCGTTTGGTGCGCCGTATTCGACGTGTTCGGCCCGAATATCGCGAAGATGGAAGTTGGCGTTTGTTACACGATAATGCGCCGTCTCATCGATCGACGCTTTTGGCCGATTATTTGACCAAAAATCACATTTTAACAATCAACCACTCCCCGTATTCACCTGATATGGCACCGTGCAACTTTTACCTTTTCGGAAAAATGCATTTGCCGATGAAAGGAAAGCGTTATGCAGACGTGGAGGCCATTCAAAAGGCTTGCACCGGTATACTGGCGGCCATACCGGGCAACGAGCTAAAACACTCGTTCGACATGCTTTTGGACCGTTTGCTGTATTAAAGCAAATGGATATATTTTGAATAAAATTAATTGATTTTGCCGATAAAACCATTTGTTCTGTCTTTTTTTTTAAAGTCCTGTATACTTTGGACTGCACCTTGTATATTACATAACACTTAAAGCCTAACTTTTTTTACAGTTGGATTTTTTTACCACTGGGGAGGACCCTTGTACTGTTCTTGATGGTGTAGAAGGAGTGCTCTTTGTCAAAAAACCAGACGGCCGAGCGACTGGTGACGCCTTCGTGCTATTTTCTATTGAGTCGGATGCACCTAAGGCCCTTTCTCGCCATCGCGAATCAATAGGGCAGCGTTATATAGAACTATTTCGCTCGACAACAGCAGAAGTTCAACAAGTTTTAAATCGTTCTATGGACCCAAGGACTTATGAAGCTAATCAACAACAGCCACTTATTTCCCAATTGCCGTCAATGTCGCTATCGCTGCTACCTCAGGTACGGAGGCTTATTAAAAATTTGTTCATCAGATATAATTCGACTCCAATACATAATTCGACATAAGTTTTGTAAGTGTGAGGCAGTTTTCTCGATTGCCAGTAAAAGTGTATCACTTCTTAAAAGTCAATTTAATTTTTTGTTCATGAATCAATAATTCTTATTGTTTATAAATTTCATACTACTCAATATTTACTGAAAACTTTAAATAAATTAAAAATTAAAAGAAGTTTTATTTGAATAGTTCCATAAAGGAGCTGAGTACAATCTCCTCTTAAAATTCTCATGGAGTTTTTATTATTACTTTATTAGTACCATGAAGTCAGATAAGAATTAGGAATAATTTTCTCTCTTGAACAAGTTAAGACTAAAATAAGTATAACATTGAGTTCATCCTTGACGCGAAGATTGGAACAATTTGATAGAGAGAGATTTTACTCTTACCACCTAGTCGTGTTGAAATTCGATTATTAATTGTATAATATATTATATATATAAATATAATTTTTTACGGTTAATTTTCAGCACTTGATTACTTCAGGAACCACAAAGAACTGCATTCGTTTACGTGGCCTACCTTATGAGGCCTTAGTCGAGCACATTTTACATTTTTTGGACGATTTTGCAAAGCATATTATATTCCAAGGAGTACACATGGTTATCAATGCCCAAGTAATAGATTATTATTTTTTAATTGTTATATAAACTTACAAATTTATCTTTGCTTAAAATTTTTGTTAATTCTTATTTTAATAGGGTCAACCTAGTGGTGAGGCTTTCATTCAAATGGATTCAGAGGAGTCCGCGCGCTTGTGTGCACTACGCAAGCATAACCAGTTTATGATGTTTGGTAAAAAGTACCGATATATTGAAGTATTCCAGTGCTCTGGTGATGATATGAACATGGTCCTGAATGGCGGTCTACAATCCCCTATTTCCGCGACACCGCATCCCCATCAATCAGCTGCATCTAAGCAGTCATCGCTGCTTTCACCGGGTATGTTACCTCAACCGTCGCCGTCCAACGCACAGGCAATTAGTTCTCATACGCATGCTCACGCTCACAATCAGGGTCATTCTAATGCCCACTTTCACACTCATGGCCAAAGTCCCCATATAACACATGCGCATGCGCATACGCATGCCTTGCAATCATCACCACCGATGGCAGCAGCAGTAGCTGTGCTATCACAACAGCAGCACGTTGCGCTGCCATCAACAAATCCACAAACTGTGGCAGCTATGACAGCTACAGCAGATAGCCTGTCTCCCTTTATGACAACCGCAGTTGGTACACTATCAAATGCTGCTCAGCATCAAAGCATAACGGTGCAAACAAATGCTGCCGCCGCAGCCGCTGCTGCTGCTGCAGCTGCACAAAATGCTGTTCCACTCGGTGGACTAGGAAATTCGCAAACTTCCACATTACAAATTCCACCAAGCGCTTCCAATGTACAAACATCTGCTATGACTGCATATCCTTTTAATTATTCTTTACCATCGCCTCAGTTGTCTATGGGAGCTAACTCTGCGATTATTGCGCAACAACAGGCTCAATATATCGCGCAGCAAAATTTGTTGGCACGCCAGCAAGCTGCAGCTGTGGCTGCAGAGCATCAACAACAACAGCAACAACTGTATGCAAATTTTATGAACCCTTTGCTATTCCAACATCCGTCCGCTCCGGGTGCGTCTAATGTAACGTCCCCTAGCCCTTCTGCTGCGGGTACAGCTGCAACGCATCATCAGTTTGTGCTTATGCCGCGCCCATTCTCCTTTCAACCATTTCCGATCGGTTATTTGCCACAAAGCTATCCATATGCAGCAACTGCAACGGGTTTGAGTGGTGCGAGTGCACCAGCTCCAGTCGCTGGCGTCATGCCCAACGCAACAATGACAGCAGGCCCAACCATGCCCCATTCCATGAAGCGTTCGTATGAGAATGCCTTCCAGCATGAAAGTAATATTGCGACTGCCGCTAAACGGGCTTTTACACGCCCTCCCAATGCCGGTAGTTTATACCAGTTTTATAATCCTGGAATTTAGTCAGGTTGAGATTTGGAATTAAACACAAAATGCTAATAATAGGACGAATTAATCCTTCATCAAGTAGTACAAGGTTTTGTGCGGCCAGGCAGTTCTTGTACTTTCATGTAAAAACAACAATCCGACACTCATTTGTGGTTAAAATTTTAGTCCAGGCTAAGTATTTACCTTCCAATGTAAAGATTGACGTGGTTGCATCACGTATAAATTCCCTTCAATAACATTTTTTTACATTTAAAAAGTATATGTGAAATGCTGGCGACTAAAAGGTATGATTGCAATAAAACTATTATTTTATACTGTCATTTAAATAATTATTCACATTGTTTCCGTACAATATGCATCTACGGTCTTATGGAAGATTAGCTTAATACGAGTTGAGGGAAAAATTAGGTGCTGTTTTGGCAAAAGCCTATACGCTCAAGCTCTTAATGTTAACCTATTTTCCATATCGAACATAGGTATGTACCATATATACATGGCACATAACCAGTTATACATATCTACATATCCACTTTAAATCATATACTTCCATATATACGAGTACTTACCTAGTAAGAGTTCATAGAAATAAGAAAACAATTGTGTTGTTTTGAACTGCAATTTGGTTTAGATATATTAGACTGGAATATCTTAAATACAAATTACATCCGATGTGTAAAGTTTATCTGGGTAATATTATATATGTATTTATCTAAAAAACGATTAATTCTTGGCATCTCAATCTCTGTTAATTTATTAATATTACCGCGTGAATTTTTAATCTTTTTTATGAACTTAACATATCAACAAAATACAAATAAGGCGAAACAACGCAAGAAGTTGAAAGAGGCTAGTAATATTCATTAATAAAGTGCTTAACAGCTGCGCCATTCACATGTTTGTGAAAAAAATACATTTTGTAAGACTTGTGCAATTTCATTGCTTAAAATTAAATAAATTTTCCTTAATTATTTTTGCAATTGAAGGGCTACTTCGTAAATGAATATTGCAAGGTGTTGGATTTGTATTTGCCTTAAACACAAAACGTTTTGCTATCAATATAACATAATTCACAAACTTTGCTGAGCTTTTTTATATGAACACTATTCATATGTACGTATTTGCTTAATGCAAATAAAAATCTGATTAAACAGCTTTTAAATTCTAAGGATTTTTTACACTTTTCAGTAACGATTGATTGAAAAAATCTATTTGCAAATAAATGTAGCATTTAAATGGAAAAAATTATGATTTCTAAAATCGCTATAGTTAAACATCTTGATACTAAATATTATATATATGTTATACTAATTTTACATGGCAATATAAATATCGTTCCTTAGAGCAAATAATTTTAAAGTAATTTCATACACAAATTTATATACCTACATATGTATATTAATAAAAAAAAAAATGTCAAATCTGAATGGATTTGTCTCCATGGAGCGATATTTTAAATTAGACTAAATATTATTAAGGCTAAAATTCTATATTCACTCTATTATATAAATCAATATGAATATAACTAGTTACACTTCGCTTGAATTGCTCAAGTGTGAGTTCAATATTACTTGTATAGGTACGTTTTCTTTTGTGTATATTTAATATGAGTTCATCATTATATGTGCATATGTATATGGTGTTAGTCGCATATTGATTTATGTTTAGTGTCATCACTAATTTTTCCCATTTGCTTACATCAATTTGGTCGAAAGAGTACATATTTTACTCATGAAAATAATATTTTAAAATTTTTATTCAAGCAAAAGTTTTACCAAAATGTGTCGTTTATGTACTTATATAATTATTTTTTATAACCAAATGACTTTAGCTAAATTTTATATTTACATGTATTTTAATGAGCTTCTTCTCTACTTTTGATGTGCGTCTGACAAAATTTGCCGCAATCAATGCACAACTCTATGCCATTCTTTATATAATTGTAATAAAAATTAAATTTTGAAGAAACGTTAGAATACTCGCTTCAATATAACAGTAATAATTTGTTATGTCGATTGTAAATGCTATACCTATTCCTTTAGAATTTCGTGAGTTACGGATAAACCGATTTTATTACAGCATGTATGGTAGTAGGGCTGAAAACAAAAGTTATTATAACAGACAATCTTAATTTTAAATACAATAATTTTCTGTTAATTCGGGATGAAAATATTAAGCACTTGCGTTGTTACGTTGCTAGTAACATTGAGAAGTTATACCTATTAAAATTGTATGCCAATTATATGTCTATTAACTCGTTCGATAGTAACTAATTTATTTTATTGCATGCTGAAATAAGACCGCGTTTATAAATATTAAAAAAATACTTAGTAACTATCGTTATAAACATAACCGAATATGCGACTGGAAATCGATTCTGTGTCCACTTATGTATATGCACACCCTTATCACAGTTTTTTGCACCATATCTTTCGACAATATGATAAATTCATATTATTTCGCGATAGCTTTTATTTTAATGCAACAGATGAAGACTCACTATACTTAAGGCAATCCTTTCAATACATAAATCTGTTTGTAGCTCAATAATTTCACCTTTTACTTAGTAATAAACATAATAATTTAATGACAAAGAAACATTTAAATAAACAACATTACATGTGTAGTTATATAAGTACATTTATGTGTCTAAGGTTTGTTTCAGTCATCTAGTAATCGCTAGGGAGTTGGGTTTTGGTTTAATGTATGGTGATAATTTTTTCAGTTAATCGTGTGTATAATTGATACATGCTTACATGCAGTTACGTATAAATATGTAAAAACTATCGTTTTTAATCGGGATACACTTTTCTGCTTATATACACCTATATATGTATTATACCTATATATAATATATACATGAATATCATTCCACAGCTAAGAAATAAATTTTGATATGACTAGGTAATCTGTTCCTACATATTTTCATAATTTTGAATGGCGAACTTGTATTGCTGTACTTAATTAACAATAACATCTCAAAACGAGAATAAAGTAAAAATGTTTAAATGTCAATGTACGTACATTTAATCAAAGCCTAAATTGCTGGCGAAGGAAATGAAGCAACCTTCCAATTATCAAAGTATCATATGGCTAGATTGTGCGTAAAACATCCAAAGTTGTATGAATATTACGAAATTTAACAAAGCTATTTAATATTAATAATAATTAAACATTTTGATATTATCTTTGCTCATTTTTATATAAACGAACCTACCTAATAATATAATAAAAATATTTTATAGAATTGCACTGTTTTTCAATTCAAGATTTTTGTACATATTCTTTCAGTTTTCGAAATTTGCATAGTTTCAAAAAACAAATATTTCACACGTGCAACATATGTATGCTGATACATGTGTATAAACATTTAAACTTGCACACTAAAAACGAAACTTGTTATTACAAACATACATATGAGCACATCAACAGATATGAGGGCAAATGATGGTGTCCGATGAAATAGGAATAATTTATCTTTGATTGAAATTTAGTTCAATAGTTTTATTATGCGTAATTTTGTTTTATTTTTGATATCTACTAAAAAAAAAATCTCCTATTTAACGGGTTGTTGCTAAATTTAATAATGCTTAACTTTTTCTCTCAGTGTAATGTAACGTCCAAAATACTGAATCTAATACCAGTTATGGGAGTGTTACTCGTAATCATATTTTTAGCTGGGTTTGGCTTTTTATTGCAGCAAACAAAACACTTGAAAATATCCAACAAACAAATCTTGTATGTCTCTCTCTGTGTGTGTGTAATTTGCTGAGGGTGATGTAACGGTGATGTAACGGTAATGTTATGTATAACAAATCTGATCTGTAAGTACATTCCTTTATATACGTTTTTGGGTGCACTTGTATTTTAAGTTGTAATTCTTAGCACATACCGATTTAATTTCTTTATTATCATTCATATATTTTATTTTACCAAATATATACATATCTACTTCTATTATAAGATATTAATCGATTTGAGTGCATTAACTAGGCTAGAAAAATACAGAATTAATCATAAAATTTTAAATAATAAATTCACGTTTAACACAACCAATTACTCATACGTGTGAGGAGTGTGAACGTCAAAACCCTGGTGAACAATAATTAAAGAAGTAAATACTTACATACTCGTACATACATGGGATTAGGGTATGGGAACATAACAACAGTGCAATGGGTGATTATTTTATGTATTTACATACTATACGGGTCAAGGCATATGCATTAAAAGGTATCTGATAGTTCTCGTTGCACTTTATAAGATTTGGTAGAGAATATACTTGATGAATATAGACATACACACGTCTAAATTGAATTTTGTTTAATTTGTTGTCAATCAACATACCTGTATAAATTTTTTTAATAATCCTCCTGTAAGCTGATCATGACTTCAATTATTTTATTAAACTTAATAGGATTAAATCGACTCACATTTTTCATTATAATATAATGGTACTTCTTTTAAAGCGAAATATCAACAAATAATAATAATAATATTTAATCATTACTATATTGCATATGTTATACATATATATATGTATGTACTTAGTCCTGCCATAAGTTCCGTTGGCTTTCACACAACTCAATCAATAGCAGCACACTCAGTTTCTATTGATATTAGCGACGCTGCTTGAACCAACGATTTTTTGCAACTAGCCAAATTTCTCTTGGATATTCGAAAGACCAGGTTCTCCAACTTTTTTGATTGAATGATTTAAATATTAACTTTAAGCTATGAAACTAGGAATATTACTTTTAAGCCACTGTAGTAAAAAAACATTTTTAAAATATTAAGTTTTTTTCGAAGCTCATAAATTTCACTAGCGCTTACTCCACACTTATGTCAAGCATTCCCCGCAATACGATTTTTTTAGCTGATTATTATATATGAGTAGACACCTCATACAATGAACTGTATGCATTGTAAATTTTGTAATATAATGTGTGGCAAGACTATGTGCATATGTATATAAAACAGACTCTAGTACTGCTCTGAATGAGCTAATATTTTTGTATAGGCAGCCTACTCAGTAGAGTTTTAAATAATGTATTAGTTTTTTACAGATTCGCAGTATTTTTTTTTTTACTCCAGAAAGCTATAAATAATATGATATGAATGTTAGTAATAATTCAAATAAAGTTAAAAAAACAAGCGATTTTGTCCAAAAGTTTGATCCAAAATTAAAAAAAAATCTATTCCGGCCCACAAATATATTAGTTTACGTTATCACAAAATCTATTAAAGGTGTAATTACTCCGCCAAGCGTCATTTTCATATTTACGCTGCTCATTATTTCGTTTGCCTCGAATATGTTGCTCAATAATTGCTTTCGAAACTTTATTTTTTGCTAACAAAAGAATTCTTTAAGTATTGACATTATGCACTAAAAAATGTATTCCTAAAGGAGCTATATAAGAACCTTTTATGAATAATTCAGTTAAGTTTATTAGGAAATATTCATATGTTTAAATTTATTATATTTTAAATATTCTACTTTTGTTCAAAATGAAATATTTCATCTGTTCAGGCACACCTGTGTTAGGCCCACCGTTTGCGCCATTTCAACCTTTTGGATCGCCAACAGCTTTACTTACATCAGCTCATTCACATCGCCCGCTACCAAATCGTCATCACCAACAGCCATCACCTCAGCCGACATTTTTTTCGCCACCTTTTCTTTATTGGCCATATCCTAGTCCGCCAGTGTCGCCAAACGCATATTATGGACAACCACAGACTCATTCGGCCACATCATTAGCTGGAAATATTACTGCAACTCAGCATCAATCTTTGGTTTGTCTAAATCTACCAATCAGTACTGTAATAATAAATCCAATTAATTCCTATATTTCAGTATCCTCTAGATTTTTTGCCTACGGTCCAAACTTCAGCGCTTAGTCCTCCGAGTATAACAATACCCTCGCCAAGTGCATTTATTCCGTCAAAACAATTTTCCACAATACCACCGCCGGTTGTCCCAATTACGAAAGGAGTTACAGGTGGCAGTATAGGAAGTAGAAATGATGTTAATCGCTTGTCGCAATATCATACCAAAATGACCCTGCCACTTGCTATGACTCAACAGCAAACAAGTGTATACCAATATACCGCTCCGCTCTCGGTGACGGCATCTACACAACCGGCGTTGGTGTCGTTGCCTACAACACCTGCTGCCGCGCCACTTTTGACTCTAACGAGAACGCCGACATTAGGTACCCAGCCGAATGTATCGACAGGTTTAGTTCTACCTAATACAACACTTCTTACCGTTGATAAAACTTATGATGAACGAGCGCCTGCACTGAAGATGTCAACATCCTCTGCTAAGCACGCTGGTAAAATCTCTTTTGCCCGAGACGTGACCACCAGTAATGTAGAAATAGTGTCGAACTCTTGCATGGAACTATATATCTCATGATTGTTGGAAAATATACCAATTTGATGTTGGAAAATTTACCCAGTGTAAACCCCAATCGAGGCGGGTTTAATGAGAATTTTGAGATAGCATAAATTGAGGGCTTTGCAACTACCATAAAAAGAGATTTACCAAAATTAGTTGGACTAAAAAGGCCTGGTTGCGTTATCTTTCTACTTGAATGAAATAATTTAGTTATTATAGTTACACTTGCAAAATTAATAACTCTTGCCAGTTTAGAACAATTTTTTAACTACGTGAAAGCGGTAGATAAGGAATTCAATAAAATGAAAACGTACAAAACTCTTATACATAGTAAAGGAATATCCATAAACTGGTTAAACCAGATTTTGATCGGATTTTCAGTTCCAAAATAAATGAATCTCGAATTTTTATTCCTTTAGGCTTACGTAACTTAAATATTTAAAAGTTTTAAAAAATAGTGTGAATTGTGAAAAATTTCAAGTTACGCAATTTTTACAATTTAATTAAATTAAAATACTTAAAATTTTAACTTTACTTTGCTGACAATGCTCTTATCGACAAATTTCCAAGGAACATTACTTTATGTCAAACATCAGTGTTATAAAATCTGTTTTCGATTCTCCAAGTGTTACAAAGTATAACCGACGCACTAGTTAAGATGTCTCATGCATGCAATTGTGTTGCGCTTTCTTCTATCCGCGCATTGATTTCGAATAGAATTATTATTTTTTATTTTTATGTGTTTATAATCAATAAACAAATAATTTTTGACAGTGTATTATCGTTTGAGGTATTCACAATGGTAAAACTGAGAAATGGCGAATCAAATACAGCTATTATACAAGTAATATATATAAATAAATTAAACATTTGTATACAAGTATATGTTACTAGTAGTACAATTTCAGCAAATGCTATGTTTAACTATAAGTAAGGCTTGTAAATATTTGGAGAAAATCAAATTAAAACAAAATTGTGACAAATCTCCGAAAAACAATTAGTTTATTCTATAGAATTTTGCAAACTAATTTTTATTAGACTCCCAAAGTTAACTTTTCTAAAGCCAAAATTATGATATATAATATAAGAAATGTTTTTTACGGTTAATCCCTAAAACTCAACGTATATGTGTTAGAGCTTTTGTGATTGCATGCAGGTGTTCTCGGAAACGATATAGTAAAATAATGTAACAGAGAAGTGAATTTGTTTC